CCCGAGTAAGAATATTGTTGCATCAGCGAGGTCACGTGACTAGTGTCACGCCACCTGCTTTCTTGAACTATCCCGTTCCTTCGGGAGTGCTCTAGCATTTACTAGATTGGGGGTGGGGGTGGTCTGGTATATATAAGATGGTCACGGCGTGACGTGACAGAAGGTGTAGACAGTGGGTAATTGATCTGCAGTCAGAGAGTATTGCTGAAGTTAACGTTTGTTTTAGCACGAATGTTGAAATTAAGTGTATCGTAAAGTTATATTCGGAAAGAATAAACCATTTTTATTAAGTAAGGACTTGTGTCGCTAAAGTTTCGTCAGAACGAATTTACGGAAAATCAACTAACAAACGGAGACGTAACAGTGTGTAGGTAGTGAGTAATTGATCTGCAGTCAGAGAGTATTGTTGAAGTTAACGTTCGTTATAGCGTTTGTTTTAGCGCGAATGTTGAAATTAAGTGTATCGTAAAGTTATATTCAGAAAGAATAAACCAGTTTTATTAAGTAAGGACTTGTGTCGCTAAAGTTTCGTCGGAACGAAGTTACGGAAAATCAATTAACAAACAGAGACATAACAATATATATATATATATATAAAGGGTATTGGAAAGTATAAAAGAGTTAAAGTCTATCTGTGAAATTAAATCTTCTTTACTAAAAGGTGTAATTTCAATAAGGAAGAAATAATTTGTGAATGCCATAGAGGCCAAATCTATTCTTTGACTCGCTAATCACTTGACATTAAACTAGTTTTGCCGAATTCACAGTTCATCAGTATTACTTGGGAAAGCGAAATAAACAAATACATCAAGCGAAATGTAAACAACTTGTGGACTTTGGTGTATAGTTGAAAGGAAACAAAAACATGATAAAAATGAGAAAGAAAGTAAAAAAAACATGTCGAAGATTACCAAAAATGTAAGGATCAATGCAGGAGTGAAATTGTCAAAAAAGAAAGAAAAAAGTGAAGTGGACCTGTATTTGAAAAACAAATCTACATGCAAACATAAAAAAAACGACAAAGCAACTCAAACAAGTCCCAGTAGTAGTACCACTGCCACAAATAAGTTCCTGTATTCAGTACCGGCAGAATTTCACTCCTGGATCAATGGCCTTTCAAATTAGGCCTTAACCGTGGCCTGGTGATTATTGTTTCAGACAGTGGATCCAAGAATTTCAAATTGGAGATTTGATACTACTTAGTAATTTTGCACTATAGTGCGCTTTTGGCACATTATAAATGTGACAAGCAATCCAGCCATCTCTTAACACAGACTTGGTCGATTTGACATACGGCGTGACCCCTTTGTACTCGATTAAAATCTTTATAAAACTGATACTACTAACTTTTAATACAGTATGTATATCTCCAAAAAATTTCAGTAAACATTATAGGTCTCATGCAAAAAAAATCATATTTTTTGTGAAGTATTTTAAACAAACTAAAAACATTTGTCCGTGAATATATCAAGTAATTGTTTTGAATACACCGTGTGCAAAGTTTTTCATATTAAGATTTAAAATGCTTTTCTTTAACTCAAAAATCTCAGATTTAATTTGTGTAATTTCTAAAAACTTCGTAAATACATTTCAAATATTTGTTTTCAGCATAACTTTATGTTTTATCTTATTTTCTGTACCCTAACTCTATATAAGGTTGGTCAACTTGACCAACC